TTTATGGCGGTTATAATAAAAAGATAAAAATATATTCGGCAGTACACCTTTTAGCATTCCCCATGCAAGAAAAATAATCTCATCTCATTTTGCAACTACATTATACTTCCAACAGTGTCACATGAACCGACTCTGCAAATAGTTTCTCTCCAATCTGGATTTAAATTAAAAGAGCAGAAAAATAGAAGGCACTAATTATTATTAAATAAAGAAAAGGAAATGGGCGTGCCATCATTTTACCGATGGTTAGTGGAAAAATATCCCAAAATCGTTTGTGATGCTGGTGAATCATCATCATCACAAATGGCGCCAAAGCCCAACGCAATGGAGTTCGATAATTTTTATCTGGACATGAATGGGATTATCCACCCTTGCTTTCACCCTCAAGATAATGTCTCTTTCCACTTTAATTATGTTCACTTTCATTTTTTTTTTTTTTTTCAAAAGTATAAAATTTAATTTTGTTTATTGCTATTTGATTTCTGGTATTTTGTTTGTATGGTTTCATTTTCAGCTTTTTGGTCCGACGACATTTGAACAAGTGTTCGGCAACATTTACGAGTATATCGATCGTCTTTTCAACATCGTTAGACCACGAAAGTTGTTGTTCCTGGCTATTGGTAAAAATATATTAATTCTTTTTCTCTCATCATCTACCAAAAAAAAAATATATTAACACATGTTTAACACATGTTTCAGATGGTGTAGCTCCCCGGGCCAAGATGAATCAACAAAGGGCCCGTCGTTTTAAAACCTCAAAGGATATCCAGTTAGCTGTAATAATATTCATGTTCTTTACACAAAAATGCATTTCCTTTTCATTCATTTTTTGGATGGAAGTGTGTTGACTATTGTTGGGGTTGGATTCAAATTCATTTTAATTGTCTATTGAAATTTATAGGAAGAAATGGAAGATAAACTGAGGAAACAGTTTGAAAGGGAAGGAAAATCAGTTATTCCTAAAGAAGAATCACAAGTTGCCGATTCTAATGTTATTACACCCGGAACAGAGTTCATGCACATGCTTTCGAACAAGCTTCAAAGCTATATCAGCCTTAGGATGAGCAAAGACTCGTCTTGGGCAAATATTAAGGTTGCTCTCAATGAACTTTACGAAATTATAACATTTATTTATACTTTGGGATGATTAATTACAAAAATTATAACCAGTGAGGTCTAGGTAATTGGAAAAAGAATGTTGCGTTTTCTTTTGATGTACAATTGTTTTATTTTTAGATATCGCTCATATTAGGGACACAATGAAGTTAAATTAGTAATTTAGACGAAATTCTATGGCGCCCATATGGGCACCATATGGTGCTATTTAATAACAGGAAAGTGAACTTGTAGTTATTTTATAGTTATCTTTCGATTTTGAAGGTTATATTGTCAGATGATAGTGTGCCTGGTGAGGGGGAGCACAAAATCATGTCTTTTATTCTAGCTCAACGTTCATCACCTGGTTATGATCCAAATACTCGTCATTGCCTATATGGACAGGTAATTTGGGACATCAAATGTGCTTTATATATCAATTTATATGGTTGGAAATATATCTTCTTTAATTTCTTAAACTGTTGTGAAATCTGAAATTTTTTGAAGTTATATTTTCTAATTGCAGGATGCCGATTTGATAATGCTTGGCCTGGCCACGCATGAAATCCACTTTTCTATTCTCAGAGAGGTATGGTTTTATAAACATTGCATTATAATTTTCAAGTAGCAGACATAATTACGCATTTAAATCGATTATCTATAAGTATATACATTATGTTGTTTGCTAAGATAGTGATTGATTCATATGTTTTGTCGTCAAATTTTAATTACAGTTTTACATATTGTGAACTAGCTGAACATGTCACTTCTTTTTCTTTCGCTAACTTCTTAATTTCCTTTTTTCCAAGATTGTTATTTCGTTATTGATGTTTGATTATTTGCAGGAAGTTTTATCTTCCGAAAATCAACTTAGAACTGTGACTACTCTGGAATCGAGCATAGGTAGGGCGGATATTGGTCCCAAAAACTCGAGGGGATGGTTTAAGGAGGTATTGTAATTATTTCAAAAAATTATTTATTTTTCATCTGTTTAATTAGAACTTACTTTTGTATTAAGTGAAGTATTCTAGTGTAAAATCCTTCTCATTGTCTGTTAAATTGTTTATGGATAGCATCTGTGGCAAAAATCATGCTCCGAGCCAATTATTGAGTTGAAGAATCTGGATTTATCGAAAAAAGTTCCTTGGAAAATCCAAAAAAAGATACCTTATCAGGTAATAATCTCTTATGTTGTTTCAGTTTTTTGTCTCAACATTTTAAATTTTTGTTTCCTTTCTGCAGTTTTTGAATTTGTGGGTGCTGAGGGAGTACTTGGAGTTGGACTTGAGAATTTCTGAAGTAGATAATTTCGTATATGATATCGAAAGAGTAATCGACGATTTTATCTTTATTTGCTTCTTTGCTGGAAATGACTTCTTACCTCACATACCAAGCCTCGAAATACATGAGGTTCACTCTTTNNTAATTACTAGTCAAATTACCAAATAATGATTACAATTAACAATAACAATAGGGTTGTATGGACCTACTAATGCATGTCTACAAGAAAGAAATTCATAATTTGGGAGGTTATTTGGTCGACATGCAAAAGGTAAATATTTCTTCGAAAACTTCACTTCATATTTTGTCGAAATAAGTGAATGAGATCAAGCATTTTTTTACTTTTTCTTCTGACTGTGTGACATGAAATAGGTTGATAATAAAAAAGGCAGGTACGTGAAGTTTAAAAGAGTTGAGAGGTTTATACTTATGGTGGGTGCTTATGAGGAAAAAATATTCAGCAAAAGGTATCAGATTAAAGAGAGAAAATTGAGGAGGATTCTCGCAGAGTTCCGAGATGCAGTGAGTTTGGCAATTTTTTAAAATTTTCATGCATTATATTTATTTACATCTTATTTCTAACGAACAGAATAAAAGATTTTTTTTCTAATAACATGCAGAAAGAATGCGAAAAGAAAGATATAGATGAGGGCAGAGTTTCAGATATAGTTTATTCTTATGGTGCTCATGAGGTTTGTGGCATATACAAATGCTTCATTTTTGCATACTCCGTTTTTATTTTTTATTTTTATAATTTTATTTTGTTTTGACATACACTTATTTATATAACAAAATTTCTTGATAGGAATTGAAAGTGTCTGTTTCATCTGTTGATTTTGAGACGGTACGAATGTTTGTTTATCTAAACTATCATTTTCATTCATTTTATGTCTTCTCTTAAACTTCCATTTCCAACTATTTTTTTTCTTTTGTGATTAAGTGAGATTTCTTTTTCTGATTGGCTGACCTGGAAAATGTGNTATATGTTGAGGTTTTGAGCAACACTAAAGAGCTAAAGCAGAAGTTGAAAGACTATCTTCGAAACCAGTCCGATTTGTTCAAAGATGGCGGAGTTGGAACCGATAAGGTCTATAATAGTTATATTTGTTTAGTATTTTAATTGTCTTATATTTTCTCATTTAGTATTAATGAATTGTGACATGTGTTTTTGCATGGAAATATACATTTTGTAGGTGAAATTTGGCACACCTGGCTGGAAGGAAAGGTATTACAAAGAAAAGTTTTCTGCTGAAACCACACAGGAAATTGAATTAATCAGAAGAAATGTGGTCAGTTTATTTATTGTTTTTCTTGTCATTTAAAATATTTTATTAAAATCAAGTTTATCGAGAAGCATAAATATGTTCTAATATTTTTCTTGTCATTTAAAAAAATATTTTAAATTAACTAGGCTGCGAAATATGGCGAGGGGCTTTGCTGGGTTCTGCTGTACTATTTTTGTGGAGTTCCCTCATGGACTTGGTATATATATTTACAAATCATTAGTTTAAAAATTTTCGAGAACTAATTTACGAAATTAAAATATTTTTATATGTTTTTGTCATTAATCGGCAGGTTTTATCCATACCATTATGGTCCTTTGGCATCTGACCTGAAAGGATTATCTCAAACAAATGTGAGGTTTCAGAAAGGTTTGCCTTTCAAGCCATTTGACCAGCTGATGGCGGTACTTCCCCCTAAGAGGTTAACTTATTGAACTCCATATTTTTTTTTTGGTATTTAATTTATTTTTGTTTCGTTTTCGTACATAAATGTTGGTATCAAAAATAATTTATAATTGTAATTGGATAAGAAATTATAATTGGTAAAATAATAGTGGAGAAGAGAATTTTTATTCTATGAATATATATGTGAAGGAATTGAATAAAGTAAGAAGCTTGTTTTTGTTATCGGATCAATTCACACTCTTTTTAATTTCCACAATATGAGTACATATATATAGCCACCATAAGTCGGTGGTTTCAGCCGACATAAGCTAGATATTTTTAGACACTAGTAAAGTGCACGTGCGATGCACGTGGTAACAAATGTTTTTTGCCAATTATATAATAAGATAAATTAATTAATTTATTAAACATATCATTGCAGGAACAAAATGAAATGTAGCACAAATAAGCTCTTAATGTATTTTTTGTAAAAAAATAAAAATAACATGTTACAACCCCAACAAAGATACATGAAAAATGGTCTCTAATAAAAAATCATTAAATAATTAAATATGGATCTAATGTATATCATAGATGCATGTTTTCTTTTATTTATTTATGTTACATTCAAGAGTGGTTTTCTTTGATTTTGATTTTGACGTTCTCATAACAAACATTCATACTCGTTGGAGCTCAATACATCAATAATATTGCAAAATTCTTTTTAATTAATTTGGCGAAACGTCTACTTTATTCAATACTTACAAATATTTTAGCCAAACATATAGTCAAACTTCATGAGAATTTAAGTCATAACTTTATTAAAGATATAATATAAACGTGGTATTACGACCAAACAAAATATGATAGTTATCGAAACTTTACAATTTTACAAGTGTACGCGCATCGCACGTGGTGGTGAATGTTTTTTACCGATCAAATTTAGTAAAATTAATTAATTAATTTATTAAATAACATATTACAACCCCAAGAAAAATACAGTCCCTAATGGAAAAAAACACTCAACAACAACACCAACAACAACATACCCAGTATATTCCCAATAGGTTGGGGTCTGGGGGGTCAGTTGTACAAGGAGGCTGTTTCCGTAGCGACCCAAGGTGCATTGCGCCGTTTGATATATTTTTTTTTCTAGAAACTTCACTAATAGAAGAAGCACTAGAATTTAATTGAGCCATTTTGATTTAGTCCATTATTAGCACTATGTCAGGAGAACTGTCAACAATGACTCTTCCAGCTCCATTTGCAATGGACAAAATGAAAAAAACACTAAATAACTAATTAAGAACCTAATGTATATTATAGATGCATTAGTTATTTTATTTAATTATGTTAGATAATTAGAGAGTGATTTTCTTTCATTTTCGTTTTGACGTTTTCATAAGAAACATTCATACTTATTGGAGCCCAATACATCAATAGTACTGCAAATTTGTCTTAATTCATTTGGCAAAACGTCTACTTTATTCAAACACTTATAAATATATTGGCCACACGTATAGTCAAATTTCATGATTGTAAGACATTTATAACGTATTTCTACTAACAGTTCATGAATATATTTGTAAAATAACCAATCGTATCATTATAGTGTTGATATTTTTTATCATTGTATAAATAACTTCATTACTATGTCCATACCTACCCCATGGGGCAATGGAAATGAATTTCATCTCCAAATAAAAGTTGACTTTCCAAAATTTTGGTTACATGTATTTCTCTCGAGACGCTAAATTACTTTTTGAAATAATCACATTACATGAAGTACGTACTGTAAAATAATTGCACATATGTTCGAGAAAAATACACAATGAGATTGTAAATATTCCTATAAAAAGGGGACAATTTCATTCAAATAGTCAAGAATGTTTTGATCAGACTTCGACATTTTCTTTTCAATGTTATTTATTTAAAATACAAACGAATTATATAATATATTGTTTGCAAATCATTGATTCTTGGTTGGTGCAATGATTTTAGCGTTGTTTATCATATATAATATCTTTCACATTTGTTCGAATTTGCAGTACTTATGTGTTTAATAACTTCTTTAATGATTTTATTGTCCAATTTTTTCGCATTATACATAATGCTTCGAAAGTTCAAGATAAAGATTTTTTTTAATACAAAAAAAAAATAAAAATCATTTGTTAAAATATTTGGGAAGAGAATAATTAGAATTGTATTATATTATGATACTTTTAGCCGCTCTGTGAACTTTATTATTACCAAGTTATTATTAAAATTTACGTTATGTATTACAAAGTTTTTATTTTTTAAATTATTTAAAATTCTTGATAATATAGGATCATTATTTTTGAAAACAAATTTCTTACAAAGTTCATATATTTAGACACTAACAAAAAAATGTTGTAATTTTAAAAGACTTTTGTTTCTAGATATTGGTATTCATATTTCTCTAAGAAAATTCAAACTTTTTTCTTTTCTCATTGAATTACTGTCGTTTTATTTGTTAGGCTACAACTAATATAATCAAATACGATAAATACTATTTAATATTACTTATTTATTTATTCTAATAATAATATATTTGACAAAAATGTACTTTTTGTTGGGATCTGTGAGGATCTCGTTATGTACAAATCACGAATTCAATAGCAAACGTAAACCTATGCGCAGCGGATCTAAAGGTTTGACGTAGAGAACTTACGGCTTAAAATTTATGTAGATCTGGTTGACCACGAACGGTTGACCGCAATTGATTGACCGCAACACGCGTCTTGGGTTGCACGAACAAGATCAGATCAAAACTGGATCAAACGGATGCAAACAGATCAAAACGAAATTTTGCTGCCAGACACCTTCCGGCGGCGCGTGAG